TAACATCATCAGTGCTAGTGAGTGTGGGGTTTGCTCCCTATTTATATACAGTAGCTTGCCCCTGCCAGTCTTGGTGGCATATGGTTTTCTCCTTTTCCTTTTTCTGGTGTTCCAGGTTGCTGCACTGTGTCTGTGCTCATCTGAATAAGGAAATGATGGCAAATTAGAAACACAAGTCAATCAAAAAACAACCCACTAACCAAGTGCTCCATTCCAAAGTAACAACTCAACCTCAGCTCCACAAAAGGAGCTGTGTAAGAACTTTATTCAGATGAGCACAAATGCGCTGCAGCAACCCAGAACACCAGAAAAAAGAAACAGACTGCCTATATAACATCTTCCAACAAAATGAATACCCCCGCAACTTTATCAAAAAGTGCCTGACCGCTCAATCCAACACAATACAGCACAACCAACACAAGCTATGAAAAGGGTAATACTGCAATACATCAAAAACATCTCAGAAACAACCAACAGACTCTTACAACAACACACCACCACCATAGCACACAAACCATCTAAAGCCCTCCAAAACATTTTAACTAAACCTAAAGACCCAGTAGCCCAAGAAGAAAAAACAGGAGTTATCTACAACATACAGTGTAAGGATTATAACAGCCACTATGTAAGACAGGCAGGCAGAAGACTAGCAGAGTGCATCCTTGAACACCAGCTAGCAGTCAGAAGACACGATGAAAACTCCTTAGTCTCACAAGAGATGGACAGACTCAACCATAGTTTCAGCTGGGAAACTGTGAGCATCCTAGACCAAGCTAAACCCCAAAACACTAGGGAATTCCTGGAAGCTTGGCATTCAGACAAATCAGCCATCAACAGACAAATAGAAATAAACCATATTTACACACCATTCAAAAGAGACAGCAAAAAGCTAAAAGGAAACAAAAAAAGACTAGAACACATCACCTCCAGCAGCCAACATCCAGATAATCAGCGATTAAACACCAGACAAAAAAATCAAGCAGAAAACAATACCGTAATCAAGAAACTACCAAGGAGAAAACCACACCCCCATCAACACTTGGCACTTGGCTATTGTATATATACAGGGAGCAAATCCCACACTCATTAGCACTGATGATGTTACCTAGTTGGGTAATGAAACAACCAAGCTCAGAGAGCACCAAGGACTCCACAATTAAACCTGAGCTACATACAGTATATCCTCTTCTATTCACTTATTTATTTCTGCATACCCTGGCATGGCCACATTACTTTATGTACTAGAACTTTACCAAAAAAGTATTCACAAACAAAATACTTCTTACCCTTCGCCAGTAAGAGCACAGCATGCCTGGATGTGCCACTGGTGATCTTTAATAGATGTTAGTTTCAGGAACTGAGAAATTTCAGCTACCGTCATGCAGTTTTTAACATCCTGTTTGTTAGCAAAGATGAGCAAGCCTGCTTTTTTCAAGTCCTACAGTAGGAAAAATATATCCTCAGTCTTCTTTCTTTCCTGTTATTCCACTAAACGGTTTTCTTTTTTTGCTGTATTTAACTCTTACATTTAAAATGATTTTAAAATACAGTAAACCAACACAGATTCTATGCAAAATCACACCAGAGCAGCCCCACATCAACCAATCAAAATTCAGCTAAAATAAAAGATCACTTCCAGCAATTCTAAGAAATGTTTAGATTTAAACTTTCTAAGGAGGTAATGAACCATAGTTATGGCACATTGTCAAGCATGTCTCTGTACATCCACATTTTTTATACAATGTAAGGATATAATTGTTCAGAGAATGTTGCTTGACAATTTGAAAATAATTGTGATGTATGCAAAACTTAAATACTAAAGACTTCTTAGAACAAAAAACACACTTTTGATATAAAACTTGATATTAAATATGGGGTAAGAGGAACATTAGCTTTGCTGTCTTTACAGCTATTGGTTTTCAAGCATTTGGGGTGGGGGGTGGGGATGGATAGAAGACTTCTTACCTTCAGTGCTTATGATTTCCAATGTAAATGCACTGGTATATCCCCCACCCATTTAAAATTTGCAAATGGGTAGCAAATCTGGCATCTACTTTGTCAGTCATATCAACTGAGTTTAACTTCATTAATATGGTGCTTAAAATATGAGCATTTAAAAACACCACTCTTTGATTTTTGATCCCACTATCAAAAATTATTTTGTAATGTCTTATAAAACCTTCCTTTCTTCCAACATAGCATAATAAAAAATAAATGAAGGAGAATCATTTGATTTCTTTTATATGGGACTTTTATCCTAATATATATAGGTACTTATCAGCCTTACCATTCAAATAAGTGCAATTAAATACCATATCCCTATTTTACACGACCATTTTATTAAAATCTACATGCTTTTACATGCATCTCTGTTACCATTTCCCAGAATACACTTACTTCACATAAACTACTATGATGACAATTTTGAAAATGAGAAGTATCTTCCTTTCCACTTTTCCTTTCTTTTTAAGAAATTTGGGGCTGAGTTAAGTTTTTTTGGAAAATATAAATACTAATTTCTACAATTACAATTTACTTATTTCCCTAAGTAACATGCAAAATCTTTGTAGTTTGTAATTAAAGAGTCAGACATAATAGATACTGTACAACTGTAAGAAATGTTATTAAATCTAAAAGTTCCCCACTCTGAGAGGAAAAAACTCATTTATTTTGTTTATGCGGTTCTGGAGGTGATTATCAACAAGGAATTATGATTGGAAACCAGTCACAAAACTTAAGCATCAACCTAGGAATTGTTTCTGCTTCAGTCTAATTAAAAAACCCAAAAAGTACTTACCTCATGTGCTAACATTTTATACAGTTCTTCTTTAGTTACAGAAATTCTTTCTCTGTCGGTGCTATCCACAACAACTATCACAAACTGTAAGAATCAGACACATTTGTAAATTAAAAATGTCCATACATATCTTGAATCATAAAGCAAAGAAAGACTGAGGCTGCCTCCATGAAATAATCCCTTATGAAAACATTAAGATAACATCAATTAAGACAATTATAATATTGCAAGAAATGTAATTTATGATGGCACACTAAATGAAGCTGCCCAATCCAACAAGGAGTTCTGTGTAATTTTCTGAGGAGTGTACCCAATAGGCAATCACCATGCTTTTGGCAACTGAATTCATTAGCAATTTTCTGCTGAATTTTAATATGCCATAATTACTGATCCAAATGCCCAATATAAGCAAATATTCTTAGAAATTTGTTAATGCTAGCCTCACATCCTTGATTTTTAAGTAGCGCTCAAGTTGCTATTGGTTTGTTTCTAACCTGGTAAAAGATTAATGTATTATTCCTGGCAGTTCCTTAATTTGTATTATTGATTTTAGCTTTTTGCTCAATGTGTTCCTTAGTTCACGTTGACCCGAAAGACAACGCTACTATGGGTCTGTTGCCTTCCACATCCCAAAAAGCTCCAGCCAGCTTAGCCAGCAGTGAGGGATGATGAGCACTCTTCATAATGCCATATTAGACTCTGCAATGAGGCTCCAGGACACAACAGTCCACTATTTGAAAGATGCTATTCAGTGCTTCAACTGGGTAAAGCTTATAAATAGTAGAGATAATTCCACAGCAGTCCCACTTCATGAAAGCCAAGGTATCATAGTTATCTATGTCTATTACATACAGGCCCAATGTATATGTTTCCCAAGTGTTTTCAAGAATTACAAATCATATGAATTACAGATACGTCCTGAAAAAAGATGAAAACCATCCTACTGCTCCACATATGCATGCATGCATGTACACAGATACACACACACACACACACACACATATTCTATCTAGCTGAAGCCTTATCTACAGGTGGCTGTTGGTTCTGTCTCAAAATCTGCCCAATCATTTAACAGAAAAGTGAATTGTGAATTTAACTACTGAACTAATCTCAAAACAAGCACTTTCCCTCTAAAATATATTTACATCTATTTTAAATGTGGTATATACTGTACACTGCTTGCACAAAAGGCAATTGTTAACTCTAGAAATAGGCACTCTAGAATAGAAAGCAACACTGGATAGAACAACCTACAAGATCCATTAAATAATCCTGTTTTCCAGAAATTACCATGAAGGTAAGCACTTTTCAGTCTGGCTAATTTAAGTAAAAAAGTTCCTCTATTTCCTTTTAAAATCAACAAAGCAAATTAAGGATTCATATCTTAAAAGTTTTATATGAAATAACCCATAGCAATTTGTTTTACAGCCACCACATCTGGGCTGCAAAAATCCAAACCACCAATAAAAGGGAACAAAGAAAAAGTCTGCTACCATCTAAAGGTTGTCTATTTCAGATATGGTGCCCCTACTCTTAAAATTTCCCAATACAAGTTACACTCTTACCTCAGTGTTTGTATAATATGTGTTCCATGATGATCGAAGAGATTCTTGGCCTCCAATATCCCACATAAGAAATCGTGTATTATTAACTACAATCTCTTCCACATTGCTACCTATTGTTGGGGAAGTATGTACTACTTCATTCATAGAACTGCAAAAGAAAAAAAAAGGAGGATACATTTTCATTTCATCCTCTATGCTCCACATATATATAATTGACAATGATCTAAGTTATAAAAATCCACTTGCATTTATTACTGAAATATTTGCAATATAATCCTATGTTTTTCAACAGAATTCAGTTCTGAGTAACTGAGCATAGGATTACAACATAAATTTAAAGGTTTTTTCCCCCTTTGGTGTAACCATGGTTCTTGGTAACAGTCTTAAAAATAAGAATGTTTCATTCTACTCTTGCATCATAAATTAATAAAATAATTATGTGCCAAACATGATAGTGCGCAAAATTTAAATTTCCTTATGTAATGTGACATGAGCTTCAGCAACAATTATATTCTCAGTTGTTTTAAGATCAAAATATAACCTAGCATCTCCCTCAATAAAAATGCAGCCTCCAGTCACCCAGCCCTTTTTTTAATTGATCTGCCATTGAGTTATAGCCATGTCTGAAGGTATTATGAGTTAAGCCATTCGTGGAAATGTGTGAGGAATATTTTAGGAATGTTTCAGTCACATTTGCATGGAGCAGCTTTGAACTGTGTGAACCATAAACCTGT